AAAAAAAAAAAAAAAAAAAAAAAAAAAAAAAAAAAAAAAGATCATCCTCGGTCTGGTTACCCTGTTAGAAACTGTGTGATTTCAGTCTGTCAGTTCTTTCTGGCAGATAAATTAAAAATAGGACTCCTCTCAGCCACTAAATAAATATTGGCTTTTCCCCCTCTAACACTTGGAGCTTTTCAATTTACTTACAATAAACCCATAATCTAGTCCCATGATCTCTAGTCTTCCAAGATGGCTTGAGAAACTCCTCTAACAGCCTTATTAACAACAACCCCAAATTGTAGCATGGCCCGCCTCCTAGCACACACCCTCCTTTCAACTGCCACTTTTTCACTTGGCAGAAGACTCACCTCTATAATTTTCTCCATGTGCAAATAATAAAGAACATAGCTATCGTGGAAAGCCCCGTTGAACCACGTTTGCTAGTGAAGTGCAATTGAAGGGCAGGCAGCAGGTAACCCATTAGGCTTGTACCTGACCTTGACTTTGTTCAACCTGACATTTCACTTCCCATTATATTCTACAAATTATTATCTGCCCCTGCAATTTAGTAGGAGGAAAAAATGGATCATTTCTTATCAGCATTACTGATAAGAGCCTAGAAGGAAGATAGATCACTATCCAGGGTCTTTAGGTGTGAACATTTACAGTTGTCCCTCCTCTAGAAATCTCACAGATTATCCATGAAATCCACATTATAGTCTTTTCAAGTATGGAACAGTCCAGATTTAGAGCCAGCAAATTTCCAAGGAACCACATCATCTGTGCATCTCTATTGCTCACACATTCCATTTTTCTCTAAAAATAGAATAGATTCCAGGTGTTCCTTTGAGAGGAAATGTAGAAAGAAGAGGAGTATGCTCAGTGAAGCTTCTGCTTGTGTAGGAATGCATCTTGTTTTCTTCATCCTCTGTCTTGTCTGAATGCCTCCTGCAGAGGCTTTCTCAGAGAGCTGAACAAATGCCCAGAGGAATCCTGGTACCAAGTATTGATAAACCATTAATCAGAGATCTGATGGCAGCTGGCTTGTTTGAAGGCTATGTGACTTCGTGTTTAATATACATATAAGGAGTTCAGCCATTTTATTAGAAAAAAAGCACAGGTTTGGAGAAATACAAACCAGGTTTTGGCTGTGATATTCATTGTGTCTGTTTTATAGATGAGGAAAATAAGGACCGGAGAAGTTAATAATTCAGCCAAAGGTGCACCATGTAAAATATGTATCTCATAAAGTGTTTGAGGGATCATTAAAGAAATGATACAGCAAAGTGCTTGTCCTATAGTCGATGGCCAGTAAATGGATCATGGTTGCATTTATGGCCATTTGATGATGGGGGAGAAGATATAGAAAATGCAAACAAGATCAAAGGCTGGCATAGTCAAGGGTACATATTGGAGCAAAGGGGATGGTGGGAATAAAGGGAAAAAAAGATTAATGAATGAAATTGCAGAAGAGAACTTGAGGCCAGTAAGAAACAGAAAGAGCATATATATATATGAATGACTCTACTGGAGTGAGGATGACACACCTGTGATCATGCAGATTTATAGCATTAAAGAAAAACAAAGTACCAAGCTAGACATTGTAACTCTTTTCAAGGAAATCGCCAGTGCATCAGCCTTATCCAGGACTCAAACTAAATACAGTGATCAAAGCAATGTGCAACCAAGCACTTAAGGTCAGTGTCTTAGTGGCAGAGAATAGCAATACCCCGAGTCAAAGGTGCAGTAATGAAATCAACATCTCAAACTGAGCCATGTGTCAAGCACCTGTGAACGGAGGCGCCACATTGGAGGCCTCTAGTTTCCCTCTGAAGAGGGGTCCTTTCGTCCTTCTCTCTGACTCAGTCACTTGATTGAAATGACGGAACTTAGGTCCCAACATGGAGATGCCTTACCTAAGGTGACACAACTCTTTGGGGAGAAGGAAATCCTATTTCTGTTTCTGCAGCTCACTCTCAAGCCTAGTGGCTCTGACCTGCCCCCCATGCTGCAGAAGTGGATTGGGGTACCACTGTACTTCTGTGGGCCCAAAAGCACCAAGCTTGTTGCACCAGGATGAATGAGAGGTGCTTTGCATACGTATATGATGCATATATATATATATATATATACATATATATATATATATATATATATATATATATATATATATATATATATATATATATATATATATGATGCAATTAACAGCTATCCAGTTCAATCAAATTAAAGGAAGAGGTGAAGTTTTGAGCTTAGTTGAGAAGTCTCAGGATACAGTTCAGGCATGGATGAGTTCAGAGCCACTCAAAAGTGTCATCGAATTATTCCCATCTCTCTCTCCCTTTTACTCCATCTCTTTTCTCTGCTGCAACATGGGAAATCTGCCTAAGAATGAAGCCAACACCTAGGGCAGCAAGAATGGCCACCGGAAGCCCCAGCTTCTGTTTAGTCAGCCTGTCAACCCCCTCCAGAAGACAGTGCCTGCCCCTGACCCCATCACAAGAGCCCCGGCTGACAGTTCTCACTGGTCCAACATGGGAGAAGCGATCATCTCTGAACTAGCCCCGTGGTCAGAGGGATAGAGTTCTGTCAGCTCAGATGCGTTATACCCTCCCTGGATCAGGGGTTTTGGGAGCCCCTCTTAAATCAAATGGACCAAGATGTAGGACATGGCTCTTTAAGGAAAAATGTGGGCGGGAAAGTGCAACAGGAAAAAGCGACCGATTTCCTTTGTAATAATGACACAGAGATTTTAAATGAATGCACAGCAAAAACCAAAGAACAGAAAGGACTCACCCTACCCCCCCTTGTTTGAAGGTTGCACTCCAAATCCCAGATGGAATTTGGGAAAGGCTGACCTTGTCCTCCCTCTTAATGCCCTGGCCCCCCTTTCTTATAAAGATATAGCACAGAACCCCCAGCGGGGGAAGAAGTGGGACCCTGGCCAGATGGACCCTGAAGACTGGGAGGCCAAGACCCCAGCAAAGGGCTCTTGTCTCTACTCCCTTAGCTCCCTCTAATACCATTCCCTAGGGAGAGGGAAGCTAACTTAGATCCAGCTCTCCTGTCTGTGAAATAAATTGAAAATCCCTCACAGTGAGAAGTACTTGACCTTGTTATCAAGATAACATAGGCTGGGTTAATCAAGTGACCTCTGTCTGGGAGGGTTCCACTAGTCTTGATTTCAGATCTCCGGTGAGTGAGAAGAGGCTCACTTGCCCTTTGCTGGCCTCATCAAGGATAGCACATCTTGCTACCCTGAGGCCAGCTGCCCCTCCCCCACCATCACTGTGCTCCCTCCTTCTCTCTGAGTCCTCAGAGGTGAGCCGGCTTTGTAACTGGCTCTCCTGGAGGAAGAAAAGGCCATCATGCTCTGCCAAGGTTGTTTTTGATCCTGTGCTGGGGAGATAGGGAGCCTACAGGTTGTCTTGCAGAATCCTTAAAGGGCACAGAAACGCTTAAAAGGAACAAGAAGAGTATGGAAAAAATTGTCAACTGCTAACAGTGAATTCCCTCCTCGGTTTTTTGTTTTCCCACATACATTTAACAGATGTAGAGTCCAAAATCCAGGGAAAGAAAAGGCACCTCGGAAAATGGGACTGGTTATTGGCAGCATTTTAAGGAATAAAGATTCATTCTGAAACATAATTGATAATCTCAGACTGTTTTCTCTATGTCCTCATAGTCAACCATGTCCAGGATTTTTAATGCGGGGAGTTAAACTATAGAAATGCTCTGGAGTTCACAAGGAATGTCATTAAAGCAGGAAACTGTAACTCAAAGTAGAATAGGTAAGAAGAGTTAGACCAAAAATAAGGTGACAAAGGTGACAGAAGCTAAGAGCTGGGTAATACAAGAGGAGGAAGTATGGCCAATGTGTTTCTTCATGATATCACCCAGGAAACGTCTTAGGCATTTCATTTTATTTTATTTTTTCAATTATAGTTGACATTCAGTACCATTTTATATTAGTTTCAGGTGTACAGTGTAGTGGTTAGACATTTATATAATTTACAAAGCAACCCCCCCAATTAGTCTAGTACTCATCTGACACTATACAGAGTTATTACACTACTGCTCTGTTGTCCTTAAACTTCTCTTTTTTCATGTTTCAGTGTTTTCTATGACCATTCTAATTATCTGAGAGTATGTTTTCCCCTGTTGGTTTTATTAAAAATAGTTTGGATGTTGAACGTGTCCTTTGGGTGGTACCCCTCGCCACTGTTGACTGCATATTTCCAGCTCGCTGCCTTCTGGATACACGGTAGGGTTGTACCCATAAATCTCTTCTGTGGGCAGAGCCATGTGACTAATTGTGGCAGTTCTGGCCAATGACCCAGGAGCAGAAGTTTTATATGCATCACTTCCAAGTTGAAGTACCTAGGAGTAAGTGCTAGCTGCAAAACCTTGAGAGCTCCTTTCCCTTCGGTGGTGTTGTGAATGGAGACGTTTGAGGGTGCTGCTCCGCCAGACTGAGTCACTCTGCGAGTCACCATTATGATCTTAGCACCACTGCCTACCTGCTGTGTGAGCAAGAAATATGCCTTCATTGTCTCAAGCCCCTGAGATTTTAACATTGTTTACTTCAGCCTAACCTAGCTTGTTTTCATTGTTACAGTTAAATTTCATATTTTGTGAAAGAGATAAGGAGGAGAATTGAAGTATTTCTGAGTCCCCTCTGTCTTTTTAAGTGGTACTTTAAGTGAAGTGTCAGTTTCATTAGAATCACAGGCGTAGTCTACCAATTGTCAGATGCCAAGAATAATGTGCTGCTTCTTTGGTCATGATTATTTAGCTGGAGGAGAATAGAAAATGAACTGTGTAGAAAAGCAGCAGCATACGAGGGTTGACAGCACAAAGGATAAATAAAATTTGCTGAGATAACACACTTTCACTGGACAGAAAAGGAAAAATAAATTCAACTTGCTTCAGCAGGTCCAATCTCCCAGCAATCACATATTATTGCGCTTGATTCTTTATCATGCAAGGTTTTGCTCATCTCATTTAGGCTGTCACCACACTTTTCTGTGTATTCCAGTTTATTCTCCTTCTTTCATAGCCAAAGACTCCCAAACATAACAAATTATATTAACTGGCAAACAGAATGTGGCGATCCTGAGGATAGTGTGAGAAAATATCCAGTCCTGTAACTCATATTGGTCAGCAGACATGGAACTGGTATTACAAGTTGTGTGCTTCACAGATGAATCAGAGATGGCAGCATAATTAAAGAAATCTGCATTTCTTAAATCTCCTAAATCTGCTTAGCCTGACCTCTTTCCAAATCTCTTTTGCTCTCTCTCTGTCTTTGTTAGCTGGTTAAAGGAAAATGTTTTTAATGGAAATACTAGGATTAGGAGTCAAATCATATTGAAGTCTACTCTCAACATTTCAGATATTAACTGGGCAAACTTAGGTATGTCCCTGGAGCTCCATTCTCCTCCTTTCCATGGAGATATCAGCTCTAAGGACCTAAAGCATTCTGAGTTAGAAAAAATGGTAAGAAACATGCAACTTCACCAATATGAAGTGTTCAATGCATAAATAACATACTTAAAATATATATCCATATCTATATTTATATGTCTATCTACATCTATATCTATATCTATCTATAGATCTATCTACAGCTTTATCTATATATCTTACCTATATCTACCTGTCTATAGTTATCTCTATATATCTATCTGCATCTATATCATCTATATTTATACACAAAACAGTTCATGATCTGATGAAAACAATACAGGATAAACACTTCTGCAAGCGGCATGGAGAACATTTAAAATATTGTCAAAATCTGCCAAGTCTCATGCTCATTTATGAATAGAGAAGTACATGGTTCTAATTGAGATTATTCTTGTATGCAATGTGAATTTTATTTAGTTTTCTTTCTATGCATAGTTTCTTTCCCACAAATAATGTGTTCCTTATTGCATGTCCTTTGATGCAAGGCAAATACATGAAACTTATTTTTGCATAGCCTGCTTAATTGTGTAAATGATATAGATAAAGCCAATGAAGCAGTGTTATAAATGAAAACAAATATGGGAAGTTAATTATATTCACAAGGGACTCTCCTGGAGATTATAAATAGGAAGTATGTTGTTCTGATGAACTCTGTTTTCTGGTTTAGTTATTTATATCTCTCAGTTGAGGAAAAAACTATTCTCAGGAATAAGAAATAAATTCCACTTCAACTGGTTGAAAAAGAAAAGTCTTTCTTTTGCAGATGCATAGTTCCATTTTGACCACGTGATAGACTCTAACACAGGGCCATTCCTTAATTACTTCTGTCAAGTCTTTCCTATTTAAGTTGGCGTATTTTTTCTACAAATATAAGACGGTATACATACACATTATGTGCACATGTATATCATATATAGATAAACATATTTTATGCATATATAGTGTACATATTTCACATATATACATATTTCTATATGTGTGTACGAGGTGTGATCAAACAACACAGTGAATGCTGCAGCCGAGTGCCATCAGGGTGATGTGAATTGTGTTTGTTGACCTTGATGGAATTGTGCGAGCTGAGTTTGTACCCAGGAACACTGTGGTGAACTCTGACTATTATAAGGGCTTATTAGAGCATTTAAGAAACAATGTGCATAGAAAATGGCCTGAGAAATGGGCAGATGGTTTCATCCTCCATCATGACAACACTCGGTGTCACACATCACTTCTGGTATGGAAATTTCTGTCAAATAAAAACATTACGGTGTGTCCTCATCCACCTTATTCACCGGATCTGGCACACTGCAACTTCTGGCTCTTCCCCAAAATAAAGATGACCATGAGAGGTAAATGTTTTGGATTGATTCAGGACATCGAGGCAGCCACGACAGCACAACTAAAGACACTTATGGAAGAGGACTTCCAGAACTGCTTCTGAAAGTGGCAAGCATGATGGGATAAGTGTTCGAAGCGAGGGAGATTAATGACAATGTGTCTTTTACTGTAATAAGGTTTTTTTTATTTAAACATGCACCATGTTTTTTATCACACCTCGTATGTGTGTGCATATGTGTATTTCATAACCAAAACCTTTCTGATTGACTTCTACTAAAAATCCACTGTCAGATTCCTATAAAGACCTTACCAAATGAATGATAAGAATACGGTAGAGTAGGAACTTGTGTATTGCAACAGTTTAGAGAACGTGGAGGAAAACCATTCTATAGTCTGTATTAGAAATCCACTCTTTCTATAACCCTGGAGCATTATGAAAGATTTCCCGTTCCCAGGAAAAAGAATATCCTATTATAGAGAATAAAGTTGTCTTCAATGCAATTTTATTACAATCTTGTTTTTCTGCGTGGTTTGCCAAATGCAAACATTTGAGAGGCTGAGCTTGCACTGGATCCCAGGTGCTCAACTACAGGTCACTGACAGTCATCCCTGGTTCCTGCTGTTAAGCAAAGGAGTTCACCTGCAGGGCAGCTCGGTTCTGTTACCGAGCAGAGTCTTCTACAAGGGACTCTGTGCTTCAAAACAAAGCCATCTGGCCCTGCCTCACTGATAAAAGGATCAAAGGTGTCATTTTGGCAACTCAGTGGACAAAATGAAACACAACTCATAGAAAAGGAAGGAAGCAAGAATTTAGCAGAATCATGGTTGGAAAGCATCTAAGTAGGTTTAAAAGTATATCAAGTAAAATACTAAATTGATGATTAAATATTAAAAATAAGGCAAGGAGACCAAATAGAAATTACAGGCGTGTGGGGCTAGCTTTTCAGAAATTGTTCAAAAAGATAAGCGAAACAGGGCGAACTGAGCTGGGTCTCCTACTTTAAACAAGTGAACGGGGTTTCACTTTGTCTTTAAAACCTTACCTTATCCTGGTACTACCTAAACAAGGTTCTTTGCCCCATGTTGGGGTGAAGTGTTCTGTGGCCCAGAATTCCCTGGGTTTGTCCAGTACACGTGTCAGCCTGAGGATCTGTCAGCAGATGCCCATAATCATTAAACAAGGGTCAGCTGATTCGTTACTTAAGTTGTGGCTGCACTTTGTTTTAACTGTGTGACTTATTATTGTAGAAGAACTATATTTGCCATTCAATAAATACTCAAAAGGGTTCTGTGAAAGCCACAGGGCATGGTTTGGGAAGGGGTGGGAGGCATAAGGAGGATTAAGTAGGACTCCATTATCAAGAAGTAAGGCAAATGTACAGGGATCGCACCACAATGTAAATTGTACATATCTACTTCTTTTAAGTTCTGTGTATAAGAAAGCCACTAAAAAAACCGGGGGGTAACTTTTCTAAGAATAACACAGGGTAATATTTTAAGAGGACAAATTATTTGATTCACTAATAGCTTGTCCAATTTTGTAGCATTTAGGATGGAAAGTAAGGCCATGCTTAAAAATAATGATTTCTGCATATTCTAGAATAAAAACTCAAGATTATTTAAAACTCACTTACGTGATTTACGGGTCTAATATTGGGAATGCCTTGGTAAATACAATGGCTGTTTCTCAGCACGTTTGTTTAAAGTCAGTATGATGACTTCCGGTGGTTCTCACGATGATGCTTTTTCTTTCAGATCGCAGAGCTGCTGATCCACAAGCTCAACCTGAACTCGGTGCACTTTGAGCTGAAGCCCGGGGTCCAAGTCCTTGTCCACGCAGCCCACTTAACAGCAGGTCAGTTTCCACATCCCTGGGTGCTCACCAGAGGCTCTAGCAAAGGGGGACCCCGATCTGTTGTTTAGCATAACAAGACCAGAGGGCGCTGCTCCTGATCAGAAATAGGGCATCAGTCTTTGGAGGCTCCCTCACTTGGCATGTTTGTCTTAATGGGGACCCCTAAGGCAGCAGGACAAAGTGACTTTTCTTAGTCCCTAGCAAAAGCCTTCAGCAGATCACTAGATACACACCCCTCAAATGATAGTGTGCTTCCCTACAGATAACTTTTTCCGGTGCTTCGTTGAAACCTTAATTTCAAATCATTCATATCACAGATAATTTTCTTTCTTTAAGTGTTGGAAATAAGTCATGCAGCCTAAGCAGCTGGGACTAAGGAATTGTACAGGGCCATAGCCAGGGACTGAGCCCTGAGTTGGTCATGGTCTTCCAAATGAATTCATGTCATTGTGCTTCTGTCTCCTCACCTGTAAAAGGTAGGAGAGTGGAACCCTCCTCCCAAGGCTATGTAAAATCTCAGTGATAATTCAGGTAGCCCCAAGTATAAAGAAATAGATATCATTGTGTTCTATTAATCCTAAATTATATTTACAATATTTATTGAGCATAGTTTTGCAGAGTACCACGCTGGTGCTACATGAAGTATAAAGGCCCGTAGGACATGGTCTTTGTCCTCAAAATGTACGTAATTGGTTGTGGTGTGGCAAAGTTTGGTGCTGGCAGTGGTGATGGTGGTGCTGTGGGGTGCGGAAAATGGGCAATGGTGGGGTATCTCAAGGAGTGAGATGCACAAATGCTTACATAAAGAGCCCACTGAGCATATGTAAGCATTTGGATTTTGCAGTTTTGTAGCCAGATTGTTGGTTTCCATCTTGGCTTCATCGGTCACTCCTTATGTAGACCTTGAGAAGAGACTTTCCTTCTCTGTGCCTTAGAGATGGCAGTAGCACCTGTGTCAATGGGATTGCGTGTGGATTAAGTTAATTCAGGCAATGCACTTAAAATAGTGCCCAGCACATAGTAAGCTATTTTTTTACTTATTATTATTATTCTTATTATTATTATTATTAACAAAGCTGCATAGGAAATTTAAAGCAGAGATAAATTGTGCCCAATCAGAATGAGATAGGAAAGCATCATGGAGGAGGTGGTCTTTTGGAAGGACCTTGAAGAATGCGTAGGCTTGAACTCCAGAGGTTTTCCAAGCACCAAAGCACCAAGGAAGGAGCATGGAAGCCTTGAGGGCGTTGTGGATGCTGAATCAGTGGGGACAAAGAGCAACAGTTTCCAACTCCGTTCTCTGGTTTCCTAGGAATTCCGGCGGTGTGCCTAGGTCTGGAGGAAGGCCAAGCGGGTTGGCCTCTTTTCTGCTTACATTCTATATGTTTTTCTTTATTAGGGTTTCATAAAAAAATTTTTATTTAAAAAAGAATCCCAGTGCCCTCAGAGAGCAATTATTTAAAAGCTGCCAATCCTGAGCACGGGCTATGGAGGTAGCGTGTGAAGATATGTCATCTGAGCAGTTTGCACTTCCTTTGGTGGCTCTGGGAAGCCATGGAGACCTTTGAGCAGAGGCGTGACTGATTCGCGTGGTACCTTGAGGACAATGACTCTCAAGAGTAAGGAGGATTGAGTCGGGCAGATGTGCTGCTCTACAGGTCGCCATCCTAACTCAGCCACTGAACAGACGTCTGTTGAGTACTTGCCTAGTCTGAGCCAAGCATTGTTCTTAGCATGAGATAGTCTCTGCTTTCACAAAGCTTCCACCACCAGGGAAAGCTAGGCAGGGAACAAATTCACAAGTTCCCCTTTCTGAGTTTTACTGTTGATGAAAATGCCCTGAAGAAATTTAGAAAGTGTAAGAGAACAGGGAACAATTAAGCAGCACCTAGAAGAGCAGCCCCTAAGCCTAAGGTCTGAACGAAGGCTGCCAGCTTCTTCAAGGGCATTTGATGGTCTAGACGGGCTGTTTCCTACCCAGAAGGTCAATCCTTGGTCCTTGGTGAATGGTGGTGACGGCTACATAGCTGGTTGAAGTGGAAAAAGAACAAAGTCCAGAAACACCCATTGCAGTTATTCTGATAGCCAAGCCACTGACAAATTTTGCCAAATAAGTCGAAAGAGACTACTTGAAATTGGTGTAAATAGGTTAACTGATTTACTTAACCTAATTAGGTGGCCTAGCCTGTGTAGGGGGCAGACTAAAACTCATTCCTTGTGATGCAAAGTTTGCTTTACAGCACACGCAGCTCTAATGGGCGCTCTCTTCTGGCAGCTTATTTTGTTATAGAGTAGCTTTGTTTGTCGGAAACACTCCCCTACTATTCACCAGCAGCCTCTGTTAGAAAGGGGAGCATCACAGGTCAAGACAGAGAATTAACCCCACTTCTCCCATTCTCCACTTCCGGAGGCCACTTGCACTTCACACCTTTTTCCACTTCCATGCTCATCTTCCATCAGTTATTGAATGTGCCTGATTTTTATTTACTTGATTATCATATCACATTCCAAAGATGGCTCACATCATCTTGCTGAGTTTGAAATCTCATTTCAAGTGTTTCTTAAGGATGCCTTTCTGTAATGACACCTGGTATAGAGGTGGGACCCAGCTGAAAAATAGGGGTCGAAAACGTGGGTAATTAACTGACACTAGCTTGGCCAGGAAAACTGATACAGCAAAGGCATCTGTGAATCCATGTGGGAAAGTGCCATGAAGGGCTTATCCCACTGGTGTGAGCGCCAGATGGGAAGGAATATGGCAAAGTTGGGAAGATCTGGAAAATTTCTCCAATGAATGTCCATAGTTCATTCCACAGCTGGGAGTTTAGGGAGCAGGACTCGGGTGCCTGGGAGAAAGGACTGGCAAAAGGGAGCTCAGGGAAACACGCTGAGATTTCAAGGATACCCCTCTGCAGTGTAGATACGTGCAGTACAAGGTTGCCAAAGAATGAGAGAATAAGAACAAAATGTCAGTTCAAGGCAAGAGCCCCATCTTCAACTGGGCCAAGTTGGATAGAGGGAGAAAGATCTTCGACTTCCACCCATTGTGGCTGTTCACGGCTCTTTCCTGTTCGATTTGATAGGCATTTAGCGTCGTAATTTCAAACCTGATTACCTGGCGTGACTGGGCTTCCTGTGACGGCTGGCTCAGTGACTGGAGCGCAGGCAGACTTCTATGTGGAGAATCTGCTCCAGTTCAAAGAGTCAAGGAAGAGAATGTCAGGGGTTGACAGAATACTTGAGTCTTGGAAACTTTAGTCACATTGAGTTTAACCATGTTCATAGTGTTAGAACTGGCAGGACCGACAGGCACAAAGTCACCGTCAGCCAGACTTTCATATACAAAAGACAAAGTGTGTGTGAACGCTGGTACTTCAGTGATTGTGATAAGAAAGTATATGAGGGATCCGTTTCCTGTTGGACATGGTCCCTAAGTTAGCTGTAACTCTATGATTCTTTTTTTTTTTTTAACTATTTGTACAGGGTGGTAGACTGTGTCTACCGAGGCAGTGGAGGGAATCCTCCTTTCACACATAGAAAACTTGGGATCAGTGCATTGAGACACTTGCCACAATTTCTTTTATTAAGATGAAATCAACACGTGCCTATTTGGATGGGTAGGAAGAGAAGGAGGAAGAAGCCTGGGGAAAGAAAACACAGTGAGGAAGATTCTTTGATGCAGAACTTGCCCCACAACTGTCTTCCCCTTCCTCTCATCCCCACTGCTGGCAGGAGAAAATAAAAATTCAAAAAAGAAAAAAAGAAAGGACCACTGTTTGCAACATTTCATGTCTCCTAAGCAGGATTGCTAATAACTTCCAAGGGACCATTATAGCACGCTGCTGCATTCCATTAATTGCTCAGCAGATGTTCAGCAGCCTTCTTTTAAAAATGTTTGAGCCAGAGTATGGTGCTGGTGGGAGAGGCAATGCATAATGTGGTGTGTCTCCAAGGAAAAAGAACTGTCTTCTTTCAGGAATTTACTAGCCTTATTTTGTATTTCAGTTTTAGCTCCCTGTTAGCTTTTATGGGAACACAAGGTAAGCATTTCCAGATACCTGGATGTCATCAGAGACTGGGTTTAGTTCCCCCCCCCCGCCCCCCCCACACAGGTTCTATTGGGGAATTCATTAACTTTGGTATCTAAGCTGAGCTAAACGTTGAAGGCAGTCCTTGTTTTGTTCTTAGCCATTCCTCTGCATCTTGGTTTCTGTGCAATTCCTCTTGAGAGTTTAACCACTCCTGAAAGCTACGTTTCTGCAGTTCTCTTTACAGAAAGGAGAGGTTTTTAATTATATGAGAATAGAGAGTGAAGGAGAAGCTGTGGTCAAGAAGGATGAGTGAAGGCCATGGCAGGTGTCACTGTCTTTGGCCTTTAGGGCCTGATGGCAGCTGGCATCCATGTTGAGCAGACAAAGGCTAAGATGTTAGAAAGCAACCCAGGGAGTTGGAAAAGGGAGTAGAAATAAATCAAGCTGGGTATTGGACTGGAAATACTGGTGTTTTGACTGAAGTGTCCCTTTGCTCATGCTAGTCCCAGCTGGAATATTTCTATCTCCTTCTCCACATCTCTACATCTCCTAAGTCCACTTGTATTTTAAGGCTCAACTCAATGCCAAATGTGCATGATGTCTTTCCAGAGGCCTTTCCCTGGATATCCTCTATTCCTTTTCTGAACTCATGGATTTTTAAAATCTACAGATTTTAAAATCATACAGATCATCATTGTTGTCATTGTCGTCATCATCATCATCATCATCGTCATCATCATCCTCACTCTTATTCAGCTTCTTGAGGATACAGCTCAGCATACCTTAATGTTGTCTCCATCACCGTACCCAGGAGAGAACTAGCACATGTCAGGAGCTCAATAAACACTGCTTTTATAAATAATTAGATGTAGAGTCGATTTCTAAGCTGTAGAGATATGGTTGAAACCCCATTCCCCCAGTTAACCTTCAGATTCAGTTTATTCGATTGTGAATCCGTTCTGTGACATG